CATGGAGAGGAGTAGGATCATTATGAGAAAAATCAAGCTCTACTAGAAGTCCACGAAGCCATACAATCTCATAACAAGCAGCAAACATTGCACGATATTCAGATTCAGTAGAATATTTAGAAACTTGAGCTTGTTTCTTGCTCTTCCAAGAGATCAAAGAATCACCAAAAAACACGCACCACCTGGTAACAGACCGTCGAGTATCAGGACATCTAGCCCAATCCACGTCACGGTAGGCAACAAGATGAAGTGGAGTACCGCTAGGGAAGAATATTCTATTAAGTGGTCAAACTCGGTAAAAATATGGCTAATTTGAATTGAATTTTCAGAGACTAGTAATTAATCTTTTTCTTTCATATGATTTGACCAATTTTAACTTCTTGATTTGAATAACCCATGGTCAGTAGATCGTCAAAGGTATCAAATAATACGGCGAACGACAGCCAAATGTAGATGGTGTGGAGCCTGCATGAACTGGCTAACTTGCTGGACAGCGAAAGAAATGTCAGGACGAGTAACCATCAAATAATTTAAACTTGCCACCAACTGTCGATACAAAGTAGGATTAGACAATAGATCACCCTCATCACGAAGATATTTTGTATTTACTTCTAGCAGAGTGTCCATAGAAAAAGTGTCCTGAAGGCCAGCTAAAGAAATCAAGTCTTGTGTGTACTTGTGCTGATTTAAAAATATACCAGAATGATGTGAATGAACTTCTAAACCCAAGAAATATGTGAGATGACCAAGATCCTTCATATGAAATGAAGCCTGAAGATGTTTCTGCAAACGAGTAATCAAATCTAAATCTGTCCTAATAATGACAATGTCATCAACATAAACTAGAAGGAGAACAATACCAACAGAAGAGTTGCAAAGAAATAATGAGTCGTATTTGCTTTGCTTAAAGGAAAGCTGTAATAAGGTAGATTGGAACTTTTCAAACTAAGCCTGAGGAGCCTGTTTCAGTCCATACAGTGATCGCTTTAACTTATAGGCATCCGAAGAAGATGAAGTAGTTAACCCAGGTGGTAGTGTCATATAAATTTGCTCTTTGAGATCACCATGAAGAAATGCATTTTTAATGTCCATTTGATGAATTAGCTACCCTTGAGATGCTGCAATAGAAATAACAGTATGTACTGTAGTCATCTTGGCAACCGGAGCAAAAGTCTCGTCATAGTCAACCCCAAATTCCTGTCTATTGCTAAGAGCAACCAAGCATGCCTTGTGGCGCTCCAAGGTGCCATCGGAACGAAGCTTGATCGAGTAAACCCATTTACAACCAATAGCTTTAACATTTACCGGACAAGGAACAATATCCCATGTGTCACTCCTGAAGAGCCCGAAGTTCATCTGCCATCACCTCACACCAGCAATCATATTTCACAGCTTTTGAATAATAAGAGGGAATCAGAACAGATGATAAAGTAGCATTAATAGACGTATAAGAAAAACCATACTGATTAGGAGGTCGAGAGATTCTAGTAGATCGGCGAAGAGCAGTACACGGATCAGGCTCAAGAGGGGGCGAAGTTAGCCATCGTCGTTCATACACAAATTGTTGAAAGACAGAAAATACCTCAGATTGAGATCGAAGAAAATAAATCCAAGTATACTTGCTATAATCATCAATAAATGTGATAAAGTATTTATAGTGAGCATGAGAGATAACGGGAGAGATTCCCTAGACATCACTGTGAATTAAATCAAAGCTTTGCTTAGAATGACTATTATTAGATGGAAACGAGAGAGATTTACTTTTACCCAATCTGCAAGTTGAGCAATCAAAAGAAATGGAAGAAATCTTATTTTTATTTCCCAACGCACCAGAATTCAACAAATGAGATAAGACAATCGAGTTAGGATGACCTAAACGTTTATGCCATACTTCACTCTTATTGTTTACAGTAGTGCAAAACAAAGACATAAAACTAGGAATGGAAAAGTACATAGAAAACAGACGTCCAACTTTAGGTCCCTTCGCAAGTATCTTCCCCGCCACTTGATCCTGCACAAGACAACCATCATGAGAAAATCGAATATCACAGTTATTATCAACTAACTGTCCAACCAAGATAAGACTTGTAGAAAGTTCAGGGGATATAAACACATCTTTGAATTTAGGATTAATGTCTCCAACTGCTTGAATATGTAACTGGTTACCATTAGCAATTTGAATTTGGGTTGAGCCATGATATTTTTGGACATTACTAAGAATCTCAGGTGAACCAGTCATATGATTAGATGCACTAGAGTCAACAAGCCAAGATGAACTGTTACCTTGAAGCCCTAAAGCTGAAATAATCATCTGTTGGACCATCTCCGGAGTAAGTGTCGATGAATTACCAGTGGTGGAAGAAGATGTGGAGCCAACTGTAGCTTGATAAGCATTAGGCTGGCGATTCTGAGGATGAGTATGACATTCTTTGATAATATGTCCTGGCTTCTTGTAATAGTTGCAGGTCTTCTTCACACAGTGAGCAGCAATATGTCCATATTCTTTGCACTTGAAGAACTGGACTTTCCTCGTGTCTCGTCCATTCCCTCTTCCACGAGCGGCATAAGCAATTGCAGATGGTATCAATTGTTCTTGCTGGACCGTGGCTTGCGTGGCAAGACATTCCTCACGAAGTGAACTCCAAAGCACACATCCAACGATGGTGTAGGATCGCAATTCATCAAATTGGAACGAGTACCCTCAAATTCAGCACGTAATTTCATTAAAAACTGATCTCTTTTACTTTGCTCGTGAACTTTCTGAATAGCAGAGAGATTCTTCTGGGACTGAAGCATAAACCAAATTAGTAAATTCCGTCCATGGGTTTTGGAACCCAGAAAAATAATCCTGTATGGAGAGATTGCCTTGACTGTAATTGGCAATATCGTACTCCAACTGTAAGCGTCGAGCAGTGTTTTCTAGATTATATACCTTTAAATATTCCCACATAGACTTAGTAGTCTTGTACGACCTCAGATTGAGAACAATTTGTTGATTAACAGATCCCAAAATCCACGTCATCACTCTAGCATCTTTGATCTTCCACTGTGCCAATTTTGGGGGTTCAATAGGAGTTGGGTCACTTCCATCTATTTGTCCCCATAACTCTTTTCCCATAACAAATAGGCGAAATTGAAATTCCCAGGCTGAATAATTCTTTCCCGTGAATTTCACACCAAAAAAATCGAAACTACCAGTAGCCGTTGTAAGGGAATAAGTCTATTAACTCAGAAGCACGGATACGTTTCCGACGCGTGTCGAAGTTCCTTACAGCGTGTAGGAGATCAAGAAATGCATTTGGTTGAAAGAAAACGGTGACTAACTGTGACGAAGAAGGTTGAGGAAGAAGAAAGAAGAAAAGAACCCGTTAAGAAGAAGCAGATACCTGTGAAGAAGAAGCCGAAGAAGAGAAGAAACTGAAAAGACACGTTTGACCGTAAATGAAAAGTTGTGGATGTATATTTAACGTTCTTTTCATTGTTGGGCACAATAAGATTAATGCATTTTGTAAAATTTCTTATATAGGATATATTTAAAAAAAATTAATCTTTTTACCATTTCACCCTCCATTAAAAAATAAAACTTAATCATATATGTGAGGTAATAAATATAAACAATTATTACTTTAGACTATTAAATTAAAATAAGTAAAAAGTAATATTTTAATAACGTGTCGATAACGTATCGTGTCGAAAATTTTCAAAAATCACGTGTTGATGTGTCGGATACTCGTGTCCGTGTCGGTGCTTCTTAGTCTATTAATATGACTCAACCTGAATCCACGAGTTCACACCAGCAGGTTTAAAAATAGTCTAATATCAAAGCCCAACAAAATAGTAGCAACCCAATTATTTATGGTTCAATAATTAGCAAGCCAAATAATAGAAGCCCAATACAATATATCAACCCCAATTAAGCCAATCAAGTAAATTAAACCAAACAAAACACACCCAGCAGGCAATACCTTCGGTCCAATCACCAAAATGCCAACACTATCCGGTCCGGATACTTCAGTCCACCGTAGACTTGCCGAGAGCAGGAGAAGTCGACAGCAACAGAGGCGTCGACCACCAGATGAAAACCCACAGCCCAAATATAGTGCGAGACCAGCACACCGTCAATAGGAGCAAAGCTGGTCCCAAAATCCACACCAAGAACGTTAGGAATTTCCGATTGCATCGGAAAGCCCAATAATTGATACACTCCCACTGCTCTAATCGAACTCAAAGAAGATGGCAACTCTACTGGAGGCACCGATAGTCGTACCGACAGCCAGGAAGGTCACTTCGACCTCTCCAAAATTGGTACCCAAGACTCAATCCTACGATTCAGATTTGAGGCTCTGATACCATGTCAACAAAGATGGAATTGGATTGATTGACCTGATTTACAATGCTCTTCCCTTTAAATAGAGATCCACAGGTAATAATCTTCCTATAACAATGCTAATTTACGCTAATTATCTATATTCTAGGCTAAACATTATACCATTACGCCTATATTCTGTCCTGATTGACAGATTGCTGTATACATGTAGACGTTGCCTTGTAGAACTTACATTAGGTTTAGGTTGGGAAACTACGGAACTAGTTTTGCTGATGCTAATTTTTGCTGCTTGTTTTAGATGACGAGAATCTTGTAAAATATTAATAATGGGAGCACAGAAAAGCCTGTCAACTTTTCGATGTGCAGCTTTAACAGCCAAGAGAAAATACAACCATGATATCCAGACTAGTTGTCACAGGGTGCCTTCTGTGAGGCTCAGTAACGGATGTCGTGTGGCAAGTAGCCTTCTTTACTGGGCCACTTTTACCAAAGTTACAATTGCATCGTAGTCATGTTTAATATCATTACATGAACTATGCAATCAAAGAAATGTTTCTCAAGGCAAACTCAAAGACAAAACAAATTCACTTCAATTGGATGATAAGATAGTTGTAAAATATTAATAATGTAACTGCAGAAAAGTCTGTACAACTTTCCGGAATGCAAATTTAACATCTGAGGGAATATTTAAACATGTTATTCAGATAAGTTGTCTCAGGGTGCCTTCTGTAAACATGGTATCCCACTTATTTTTGTGATGTCCTTGATGCCTTTGCAATTCTGGGTGCATTGTCGGGTTGCTTCATGTATTATTCTGATCTACAAATTAAGGTTTCAGCATGCGTCCAATGAGAATCAGATAAAGCAGAAAACCTAAGTAACAACAGCAGGCATAAAAAGGATGATGAAACATAGTTCCCCATTCCAATTGTTCATAGAAAATTAAAGGAAAATACCTAACCACTAAACTCCTTGAGATACATAGTTGTCCACAAAGCCAGGGGTCTAGTTATGGAGGTTTATGTTAGGCAGTGGGTTTGCCTTTGGATATGAGCGGGAAAAGGGGCAACGGGTGATGCAGCCTTTGACGCTAATGCTTAATAGGTTGAGTTGCTATTATTTTCACATTATCTCTTGTATTATAAAGAATACTTATGGTAGATCCTGTTACGGGCTAAATTGAAATCTAAGATAATGTATCAGAAGCATTTCTATATGCAAGGTTCTTGACAAAATATCTTACACATGCAAATTATTTCCAGCTGATTGTGGACTACTAACAAATCTAGTAAACATTTTTCAATTAATCAATCATCCGATTTTGATCATCTGGCTCATAATTTTATGCAGCTCTATAAACTATTTGAAGACGGTCTTCTTATAATATATCTTGCTAATTTGCTTGAATTTAGCAATCTGATTTTAAAAGTTGTGCCAAACAATTTCCTGGTTTCTTGCAAGATTCATTTGTCTGATAATAGAGATGAACTTGAAGGGAGAGAATTTTTTCAGTCACTCTTCATATACTACAGATGATGCTGCAATTCTCATATATTTCAAGCTTCAATTCTTAACTTCTATTTTATGCTTTCCAAACAATGTATCATGTGGAGACAATTATAGTAGTGATTGAGATTGGTGTCTCTGTAATATTATTCAAAATGTTAGATCCGGAGATTCCCGAATAGGGCAACCTTTCGAATTGTTGCTGAATCCATGGGTAGGCAAGAGTCAACCTGGCGATCCACCAAAGGGGTATTAAATGAATGGAATTGGGATATGGAAGGAATATAATGAAATAGAGCCACTTTGGGGTTCCCTCTGAAATGAAATATTTATGTTTTTCATGTGCACATGCCAACATCCTACTAAATACTTGACTACTTGCTTTTTAAAATTAATTATTCTTCTAAGTGTTCTATTTCCTTTTTTTCCTTTTTCATTTGCTGCTTCTCCTTCAGTAAATTCAGCTCGTTAACTGAGTTTTTAGAGCAGGAAAACCCTTATGCTTCTTTAAGTTTTACATTAATCAATCTGTGTCACTTGACAAGTCAGATGCTCTTTTGAATATTTATTGAGATGTTTCTTGCTTATGTTTCAGGCTCTTAAAGCTATGGCACACAACTATCCTAATACAACTGTTTTATGTTGGGAGCAAGTTTCATCTACTATTTATAGGATTTTGAAATTCTCCCCTGATGATCCAGCAAGATCATGGGGGGGTAATGTTGAACACACCATTGGAGCAATCAGGGAGAGAGTCATGGCAGCTGGGATAAAGGTGGACATTACTACTTTTGCATGAGGTTTTTTCTTGTTGTCTATTAACTTCTACTTGTGTAATAAACAAGTTCTTTCTTAGTATTACTTGGTTTCGAATTATTTCTCATTATTTTCTACCTCTGTTGTGACGGAAAGCTAGGAACTACAATATGTAGTGGGTTTATGTCAGTTAATCAATGGAAGTGTATTTTTTTTTCCCTTAATAATTCAAAAGCATCAGCACGGCCTTAGTGGGTTTTAAGGCACCACCATGGAATGCTAATGGGGGTTTGGATTCCCTAACCACATATATAAAAACAAAATCCACTGGTACAAAGGGAAGGGGCATAAACCTGACCTTCTAGAAGCAATGAGATGTAACAAGAGAAGATGAGTAAAAATAGCCATACAAAGTAAACAATAGTAAAACAAACTAACACTCTCTAATGCTAGGAAGACCATATCTATCAATCTGAACCAGAGCTTGTAGTCTGCGTGGAAGATCAAATGGACCATACTCCTGATAGGCGTAGATCTCGTCCTATAGATGCAAGTAAATCAGTAACCTGGTTCCCCTCATGGTAAATGTAGTACCATGAGGAGACAGAGTCACGATCGATAGAAAGATTATGTCTGATCTGTCTAAGAATAATCTAAATTGCCCATAGATCACTACCTCTAGTAATGCAGTGAATGGCCACGGATGAGTCAGTCTCCACCAAAATATCTGATAAACCTAGGTGGCAAGCAAGCAAGACACCATCGAAGATGGCTTGTAGCTCAGTCTCTAGGATGGGACAGTCCCCATAAGATGCTGAGGACAATGTATAGGCCTGAACAGGTGACCTATGTGAAAAAGTGAAATCATGCGATAGACTCCATATGATCTTCCTAGAGTCCATGCATATACCATTATGCTTTGTATCATTCCTTGTAAGCCAAAGAAACCAGAAAATTAACTAAGGGATGATAATGTGAATGTGGCCCTTGCGAATGAACTGACCAAAACATCTCTAACTCTGGAATCAATCTCCGAGTCCCTCATTTGATGTAATTGGTACCTGAAAAATATGACAATAGTACCTTGCCTGAAGGAGACGAAACCCCTCAAAACTCGTTTTAGCTTTTTAAATACAAAGGAATAATTGGGCACTGAGTAAGTGAAAGCAGTAAACCGAAAAAATATCAAAATTTTTTTAAAAAGCATAATAAGCGCATAATAAGTTAGAAGCAATTTTCAAATTTATAATAGACCAATTTAAAAAAAAAAAAAAAAAAGAAAGAAAAAAAAGAAGAAAAAAAAGATCTATAATGTTTGAAAAAATAAAATAAAAAAATATTGATTTAGTTGGTGGGTAGTGGACTATTCTCAAAGGAGTCTATGATAGACATAATTTTTTAGTGTTTTAGTAATAGGTGATTCTCAATGTGGATTAATTAGGAAACACAAATTTTTTGAATGTTTTAGTGATAGTTAGTGGGTAAATCCCAAAGTGGATCTATTAGAATTTTTAATATTTTGTGGGCCTACACCTAAATCAAACTAAATAAGTTGAGAATTAAGGAGTGACATAGCTCACAAGCCTTGATATTGTGCCTCACTGAACTTAGGCATGCATCTCCAAAAACTTCCTCGCAATCTTGGGCTGCTTTTTGTTCACCGCTTTTAGGCACCTTAGTGGAAATTTCGTGAACAATGAATTGATAGCTTCTTGTCCATCTATATTTCTTGATGGCATTTTCAGTAAATGATAGGTAATTAGTATGCTCTAGCTTGTTTGAACTCCTACCCCATACGATCTTACATGCACTTGATTGGAAATTTCATTGTTAATGCCTATATATGTGCATCTTGAGGTTAGAGTGTTCAAGCTTTTTACGATAACTTACCTGTACAGGTTTTGGATGAATGTCTTCGTGCTATTTCTGGCTTTAAAGGAACTGAAGATCTTTCAAGTGATAAATTGCTTGATAGTCCATTTACATCTGACTATGTCAAAACAAAGGCAGTCTCATCTGCTCCAGTTTATGGATTAGAGAGCCCTGCATCCACTGAGGATGAATCAAAAATGTGTGTTTTGGCCAGCGAGCGGTGGTCTGAAGCAATAGTCAAACACATGCCTATGATCATTCAGCATTCATCAGCCATGGTAGGTTCAAATCACACTCCCTTTGACTTGTTTGTCTCTTTAGGCACATCAAATTTAAATGTTTATGTAAGTTTCAATAACTTCTGAGTTTCTATGCTACTGGTCACCTTTACACGAACCATGTATCTCCAGAGATTCAGGAGAGTCTCCTGCGCTATAAGATGTCAGTCACTGCATTATTTCATCAATTTTTAGGTTCGGGAAGCTTACTGATTAGGATAAGAAAGTTAAGAGGATGCATCATAGTTTTGAGATATTACATCTCTCCACATGTTGGAGGTCTTGCACAGCAAGGTGGATTGGGGGGGGGGGGGGGGTTGGGGGGGAGGTGGGGTGGGGGGGGGGGGTGTGCAGAGGACTTTTTTCTCTCGACAATGAGGAAAGCTATGGTCCTTTATGATGACCTGAATTTTAACTATAGGCATTTTCATGCCTTTTTCTTACTTATGTACCTAATTTGCTTTTCTAATGCTTAAAGTGGATAAATCTTACCCTTGCTTTTTAATGTACGTCTCTCCCTAGGTTGTAAGCCCTCCATCATTGTGCAATAGAGCAGAAAATAATAATATCAGAGTTCATTAGTGCTATTTCACATTTGTATTTTTATATGTAGATAACATATAATCCCTGACAGGGCATAAGTGAGATCAGACATGCATCCAATTTGTGTGTTACCACCTCTGATTCTAGTAAAGGAATCTTGGTAGCCTGTTTATACTTAAATGTTGTAATGCACCTATTTACATCGTAACGGAGATAGCTTCTGAAAGGTTGCAGCAAGTCTCATTATTTGAACTGTATTGGTTCTAAAATGTTTTCTTTCTTGTTTATGCTGTTGTTGCTTTTTCATTGAAATCTCCATTTAAAGGTGGTATATATGTAACGACCTGGACCTTTCGCCCAAGCCTTAAGTCTTACTTAAGGGGAAGGTCATGAGTTCGAATCCTGGGAACGCGACAGAAAGCCGTGAGGGGTAACTGGGCGCAAGGCCCACCCAAAGCGGACAGTACGTAAGATAACGGCTTGAGCGAGAGGTCCGGATCGTTACAAATATGGGCAAGCAACTTCTTTAAGGTTTTGAATTTTGACTTGCTAAACATACATTCTGTGTTACAGTTAGTTCTGTACTAGAGTTGTTAGAAGATTACCTTCAATCCGGTACGGCAATGTATTCTCGAATTTTCTCAATTTGTTTTTTTTCCTAATTTTTTTTTCTCTCTCTCACCTGAACTTCATTTTTTGGAGTCATGAAGTCATGTGTCTTTACTTTTCGTGGTGGATTATTTAGGCCATCTCCAATGTGAGCCCCAAAGCACCAAAATACACCATTTTTTGGTGCAAGGGAGCTCCAATGCAACACTAAATTTTGCACTAAAATGGTGCAAAGTGTATAAAGTCCATTTTCCCCTTTTTATCTTTTTCCAAATAAATTTGTCAAGGGTATTTGTTTCATTTGTTTTATATATTTTTTAATATAATAAATTATTATCATCATCATCATCATCATTATTTGCATTTAAAATAAATTTGAAATGTAAGAAATAATAATTAATGAATTAATTAAAGGAGAAAAAAATTTAAAATATAACAAACATGATTATTTATTAAAGTTAACACAAAATATATTAAATGACGACATACATACGATAATCTAATTTTATTCAAAGAAAACGATGCATAAAAAATTTTGCGACTTCTTAATATCGTAATATCCAAATTCGAAATGCATTGTACTATTTTGTGATAGCAATATTTAATATTTTCATTGTTGTAGTATTTTTATTAATTGTACTATATTTTTTATATTTATTAATGAATTTAATCTTTTCCGTAATTTAACGTAATTATTTATTTAGTAATTTATGTATTTATAAAATAATTAATTAAATAATTTTTCAAATAAATAAATTATATAAAGAATAAAAAAAGGGAAGAAAATTGTTAAACACTATTCATTTGGTGTAAGTTTTTGTGTATTGGTTGAAGATGAATATTAGTTTTGGTACAAAATATGGTGCAGTGCTGGCCTTAGTTTCTTTTAATATAGTACACATTTCTGTCCATTTGGTGGCTAACATTTTATTTATGATCTTCTACTGGTTTCAGAGCTGCATGTCCCAGTTTTATGCAATGCATTGAATGATCATGTCTCTATGTTATGGTCTTCCTTAGAACTTTGCATGTGGTGATTGGATGCATGAACAAAATTATTTCTGTACTTTCAGGAGTGACATTTAGTATGTTTTTAACACAAGTCTAAGTCTGTTTTGCCCTTTCTTTGGAAGGTAAGGGCTGCATCAATTACCTGTTTCGCAGGAATGACTTCTTCAGTCTTCTTTTCTCTGCCAAAGGACAAACAGGATTTTTGCATCAGATCTTCTGTAAGTTCGGTACCAGACTGTAGCATGTTGTTTCTTCCATAAAATGATAATGTGAAGCCATTTGATTTATTATATGCTGGTTCTTGTAGATTGATACTGCTCTAAGCGATGTTCCTTCAGTTAGATCAGCTGCTTGTCGTGCCATTGGTGTTATTGCATGTTTTCCAGAAATATTTCATAGGTAACTTACCATGGCTATATCTTGAGTTTCCGATGATAACTGTTACTAAATGAAGAGAAATTCCTAAGGGGTTCCATTCTGAACAGCACAGAGATCCTTGAAAAGTTTATCCAAGCTGCTGAGCACAATGCTCATGATTCACTGGTCTCAGTAAGTATGTCCTCATGTTTTATTTCTTAAGATGGTCTGAGTCATAGTTTCCCAATGCTCAAAGACTCATTGAAGCACCAAGAGTTCCTGGGTTTGAGATAAGGGATTAAGAAAAATGCAAGCCTCATACAAAGTGAGGATCATATTTTATTTGAATCAAAAAGTCTCTACACATTCATAAATATATTCAGAAAGTCTCAGAACTGCTGAGATTTTAGTAAAAAATGTAGCAAAACTCAATTATCTCTCCTATTACTTTGAGCAAAATCATCACCAAATTGATCTTTAAATTGGATTACAGATATATTTCAATTTTAGCTACCAATCCAATTTAAGTGGCTGAAATATTAATACCACATAAGAAGCTAAAAAAATCAAACATTTAGATGCAATAAGGGAATTAAGAATCGAAAGATCTTAGAAGAGTAAAATTGTCTTTTTTGTCACTTCTGATTTTTCTTGCTTTCTTCTTTAACCTTTTCGTGCTTAAGAAATAAAAAAGCTCCTTATTCTTCACTCAATGGCCAAATGTGCTTAGGTCACCTTGGGCGTGCTATAACTACAATCCCGTCAAGTCTAGCCATGTTTTTTTTCTTTTTCTTTTTTAAGTTTCTTCTCCTTTGTGTATCATAGCAATTTAGCTTGGACTTTGGTAAAAATATTAATGAAAACTTTCAGGTGCGCATTGCTGCTTCATGGGCCTTAGCAAATATATGTGATTCTATTCGACATTGCATAGATGCACAGCCTTTTGAGACTGATTCCATAGGTGAGCAAATGTTTGAACCTTACATCTTTCTCTCCACTAATGTTAAATTAACTTCTTCAATCTTGTTTTGTCCATTGTGATAGCATCGAGGGAGGGTGTTCGATTTATACCATTACTAGCGGACTGTGCTTTGCATTTAACAAGTGACAATGACAAGGTAAACAAGCAACATGCAACGAGTTTTCAACTATATTTGTTTCTATTTTTCTCACTTTTGTCAATCACAATTTTCTCCACGTAGTTATTATGGTTGCCACTTGTAATTCGTTTTCAACTATATTTGTCTCTATTTTTCTCACTTTTGTCGGTCACAATTTTCTCCACTTAATTATTAGGGTTGCCACTTGTAATTCTCTCTAGTTGCTAACTGTTTAAGCTTTGGCATGCATGTGATTTGTTCGTCAAATTCTCGCAAGCGTACGGGTTCGTTGTACAAGTAATAATCGTGATGAGAAAGTTCCTCCCACAGGGAATAATGATCAATTTCAGTATATTTGATATATTTAAATTCGAGTTTGTAACCAAAAGATGATCGAATGAATAGCTAACTAATTTTTATAACTAAAACTTATTAAATCAATGACAATTGGTTTAAAAATCAAATGTGCGAACGTACTGGATTTCCGACGTCACTGATCAATTCTTAGTTCTAATTCTCAACCAATAATAATTATTTCAATTTATGTAGTTGCGACGATCGATAATTTCACTATTATTTATTATTCTTTTCCAAGATATAATAAACTTATAATTATCACGAGACGATCTTATTTCTAGTCCGACTTCATATGGCAAACATGCATTGACATTTAGGATTATCACATAAGATCGCACACGCCACAAATATTATTCCTAATATTTATTGCCCGTGTGTCCCAATAATAGTATTCTATATATCGTGAGTTTTCCAACACAACGAATAAGCAACTTATTGTCCTAATGGTGCGCAAACATTAAAACAATCTAATTATGCATACTAATGAAATCACAGCACAATAATTAAAATAAACACGTCTCGAATTAAAATTAAGAATTAAACAATTTTGTCATCCATCCAATACGTGAAAAGACTTAGCCTAGCATAACGTTAGAATCAAACAAATAAAGTTTAAACGACATCACCGCGAAATTGATGTGATTATTCCGTGCGTAATCTTGGTTGCCTCCCAATGTATATATATGTATTTATATATATTATAATACAGCAGCACACGTTTCCTCACCAAGCTGCCTTTTATCACTGTCTCTTCCCTAGTTGACTGCTTTATCAATGTATATGTATATGATAATTTGCCCAGGTTCAGCTGCCAATGCATGCAAGAATATCACCAAAGTTGGCTCCAATACAAGCCTTGAATGTTTTGTCACACTTGCAGCCACCAACTCAGTATATGAATTAATAAATCAGCCCACTTCTCTGACTTCCTTCTGCCGGCCACCGTTTGTATGTATGTCTCCCTATAAATTTCGAATTCTTGCCTTTTAATTTCCCTACAGCTGCACTCCAAATTTCTTTTTTCTCCTCTAGCAGCCCCTATTATCCCTCCTCCATTTTATGCGCATGAATATATATACATATATATTTCCCACTACAGCCGACAGCCCTCTTGAAGTTCAATCCCCCCGGTTGCCTTTTTTCTTCTCCTCCTTTTCTAGGTTTTTTTTTTCTTCTCCTCTCTTTTTCCTCCCTTGTAAACGGGATATATATATGTATTTATATTAGTGGTAACCTAGCCCACAATGTTTGACTTTCAAAAGGATTCCAATTGCTCTCCAATTTTCTTTCAATGGCCACATTAATCCACTTACTTTAAATATTGCCATTTTCGCCCAATTTTCTTTTCTTTCATTCACTTCCTTTTAATCCATGAAAATTCACTTATTAAACATAAGACAACAATATAGAATATATTTTGCTAAAAAACTATTAAATATCGTTAGTTTAGAACCCCGATTAAGTGTATAAAATACACTCATCAAACACCCCCAAATTTAAATATTTGTTTGTCCTCAAACAAAATTATAACACAAGCATGCAAAAATATTTTGTTAGACAATCTAACTTTTTGCCTCAGGATTTGAAATCACAGTGTTAAATCTACAAACTATTTCAAAGTTACAATACCAAACTAATATTCACTTTTCCAATGCAAAACCGACGTGTGTGTGTGAAGAACTAAGTAGATATTAATGAATTCACAAGTTGTTCCAATTCCTGACCCTCTATGGTCAAATATATCTTTTCATCGCTCGTAAGATTCACATACCCAAAAAACTCATCTTTTTACACTCTTTTCCCAGTGTATGATCTAAGATTGAATTTTTATCACTATCTTCACCTCTCCAATTCAGGTGGATGTCATTAGTTGCAAGTTAACACGTCAATGAATAAGGATTCTCAAATTATTTGATTGTTTCGACTGCCAAGATTCAACTAGGTTAATTATCCTTTATTGAAAGTCAAGTTCCCTCGAACAAGTGTTGGGATTTACAAGGCATTTAGTGCTTCTTTTTTTTTAACTCTCCCTTAAGCATTTTAGATAACTCATGTAGCAGGCTTTAGGCCGATAACTCCCAAATCAGATGACTTTAGGACACCAGGTTTTCAAATACCCTTATAGGCTTAATAACCTGAGTCAAAAAGGCTTCGAAGAGAACAATTTTTTAGGGAAATTTTATCTCTGATTGTTTTTTAAATGACCCCTGTAATGAGTTTTAGGCCGATAACTCCCAAGTCAGATGACTTTAGGGCACTAGGTTTTAAGATACCATTGCAGGCTTAATTGCTCGAGTCATAAAAGCTCCTTAGAAAAATTTTTAATCTAAAAAAAAATATGCATTGATTAGTACAATGCCCCTTATCACACACCTATTCAAGCAAATCGAACTCCAATTTAAAACTTTCACCCAATTTTATCCTATTAATCTCAGACAATCCACACAATTTTCACACAAGGAATTCACATTCACATCCGTATTTTCCTACAACAGTAAGATCTTTCCAAATTGTACTAAAATTGGTCTAAGGATAATTGGTTAGTATGGTTTTGGTAAAGCATCTATGTCCAACTAATTCAATCTATCAAGTGCACGAATCAACTTACTTCATCATAATGTCAAACTCAGTTCTAGTGCATGTATAATATCAAGTTTTGCAAGTTCAAGTTTCAATCAATCTAGCATGCTTCCTATCCCCAGTTCATAAATCAACGCCAAATCTCAAATTTAATCATCATTGTCAGCCAAACCGTCTAACCCACACAAGCACACAATCAAAAATAAGTAAAAATAAATGAAAATTTAACGATTTTTTTTTTAAATGTTCTTTTTTTTTTTTGTAACATATGTAAACAACGCACGAAAACATATGAAAACAAAAAACACAGTGTTTCCCACCTCCAAACTTAAGTTCAACATTGTCCTCAATGTCTTAAAACATGATTAATATAAGGGGACGGGGAAGAAAAGGACGAAGGTATTCCCTGAATTTTTCTATTGAACGTGGAAGATACTGTAGGTGACGGCCAGATAATTTTTCTTATCATACTTTTCCCTTGGTCGATGTTGGTTCTAGTGTTCCACGACGTCATGTTCCTGCATATGGCAATTAAATCAAACAATAGGGATCAAATAATCCAAAATATGTGTTACTCAGCCTAAACACTCGAAATAACCAACATTATATTTAAGGGCCTCGGTGGAAGCATGATTGGATGATGACACCATATAGATTAAACGTGCCTAAATCTAATTCAACTAATAATTAAAACAAATCTATATGCAATGCGATGCGAAAAACAAAATAAATAAAAGGTTTAGAAATTGGGTTGCCTCCCAATAAGCGCTTAATTTATAGTCGTTAGCTAGACTTTGTTGTCTTGGCTACTCTACATTATCAAGTGATACGGTTGTTTTTTCAGTGGAGTAGTCACCTCCCCAATAAGCTTTCAACCGTTGTCCATTTACTTTGAACCTCCTTTGTTGATCTTGAGACACCACTTCCACAGCACCATATGGAAACACAGCTATTACTGTGAATGGACCTGACCACCTGGACTTTAGCTTTCCCGGAAAAAGCTTGAGGCGTGAATTGAACATCAATATTTGTTGACCAACCTCAAACTCCTCCCTTATATGCCTGTCGTGCCATTTTTTGGTCTTTTCCTTGTAAATCTTTGCATTCTCATATGAATCCAAATGAAACTCATCTAGCTCATGAAGTTGTAGAACCCTCTTTTCTCCTGCTGCTCTCATATTGAAATTGAGCAAGTGTGTCGCCCAGTATGCTTTATGCTCTAACTTAACCGGCAGATGACAAGCCTTTCCAAATACCAGTCGATATGGAGACATGCCAATTGGAGTCTTAAATGCTGTTCTATACGCCCAAAGTGCATCATCCAATTTCTTAGCCCAATCCTTACGTGATGCGTTGACCGTGGCTTCAAGAATCTTCTTTAACTCCTTGTTGGAGATTTCCACTTGCCCACTAGTCTGAGGATGGTATGGAGTTGAGACACTATGTTTCACTCCATATTTGGCCAACAGCGAAGCAAATAGGCGGTTACAAAAATGCTTTCCACCATCACTAATAATTGCCCTTGGGGTACCATATCTCGGGAAAATGTTCTTCTTCAGGAAGTGAGTTACCACTCGACCGTCATTAGTTGGTAAAGCTATAGCTTCAACCCACTTAGACACGTAGTCCACT